GTGTAAGATATTGAACCTAACAGTGTTTCTTATTTTGTACGAGTATTTGAGAACTTTATATTATTATATAAAACTTTCTAAAGTGTCGTTTACCACCAGTAGAAAAACCAGCTCAATCAATAGAATTATCATGGAGATATAACGTTTTCTTTTTGGTCAATCACCTTTCGTATACCTTGTATTTTATTAGATCTTATGAAATAAAAGAATTAGTAACTGTTACATGATGTAGAAAAATGCATAAAAAGACGTTCTTTTATGCTGCGTCCGTGACGAGGTGAAGCGAGTTGAGGTGTGAGTGTGAAGTGTCTATTCAGCTTTCTTCTGCATACACATCCATACCAACATCCACACTCACACCCACACCCTTTACTATTGATGATAGCCTGTAGAAATGAATACATTTTTTCCTATACATCTATGCAATTAAAGTATTAATCATTATCGTTCGTATATATAAAAAACAAAGCCTATTTATTTATTTATTTATTAGTTGTGTGCTCTTCTATTTTACTTCACCACCATGTTAACTAGCTTTCTACTCAAATCACACTCATATATCCTAAATCGGCGGACCAGAATATTTTTTCATATGATGCTACTGATATTGGGAGCCAAATTTCGTTCTGCATACTTACAGATTTTTGCGCGTGTCGTCCCATTAATACTTATATTGCAGCGAATCTTATTTCTAATGTGTTTAGTAGATTCTCAATAACAAAAATAGGACCAACCTATGGTTGTAAATGTTCGAGAATCGTTCACCTGGTTCGATTCAGCCGATCAGAATTTCAGACCGCTCGGTTCGACCAGTAACCCAGTTTATAAACGATCTTTTAGACTGGTGAAAGGCAGCAAAACGTGACCGGCTTGTATGCTCATTATATATATATGATATATATTTATCAATAGTTAGTATTGTGGTCTAGATGTTTTATTAATGATTAGTCAAGCTGATCTTCTAACAGAATATATTTAGTTGTTTAAATTGTTTAGACAAATTAAGATCAAGCTTGTTTAAAAATACCGCTTTCGCTCGATTGTAAAATTCAATCGACCGTTGCTTCATCCCATAATTTCGAATGTAAATATTACAAATACGAAACCGGTTGCAACAAATCGAAAATGTATTGGGAAAAATGCTTTTATTTGATTTGCAGACAAAAGTTGAAATTACAATCAAGTGTCTGAAATTATTGTCTGCTGTGAAAAATGACGTTTCACTGTCTACCATCGGTCGATAATCACTTTGCCGAACATGAATGAAACATTTAGACTCAAGTACTAACTACCTATGTAATGTACAATGCAAAAGTTATAAGAAAAAAATGTCGATCCATACTTTCCATCGAGACATAGATGTTAAACGAAAACTTGTTCACTAAAAGATAGACCTTTTTCTCTTCTTTCGAGTCGTAATAATAATTGAATACAAAAATCGTAATTTGACATAAATTAATACATAATGAGGGAGAAAGTAACGATAAAAAATGTGAATTATCTATGTCTGTATCTAAAACAAATCTCATGGCTGTAGATGACGTAAAAAGTTCACTTTTGATTGACAGAAGTAGATAATGTCTACACGAACTGATTAAAAGTACAAGCTATGATGATATTATTGTATAATAATGGCTGTCTGTCTAAAGAACAAGTGTCTTATTTTAAAAACAATTTGATCAGTGGATTTCTCTGTTATCCAATTTATCACAAAATTCTTTTTTGTCTCTACTCATCAAAACTTCAGTTGCTCTCAGAGATTATTGTTCGAGAACGACGAGCAAAAATATTGCTCAGACAACAGCAAAGCTCGAAAGATGATTCGAGAAATTCTCACACCAATTCCACAGACAATCTTAGCGTATTACATTGCAGAACGATATCAGACTGATCCTCTACAATCAACGATATCGATAAAGATCTTGTCCTATCCGGAAATTGTCACATGGTAAGGTGAGCGCAATTTAAAACTTTAGCAACATTTTTTTGTACTAGTATTAGATAGAGCTTGTGGAGTTTATATAGGAAAATATATATTTTCATTTTTTCAAAAAGTTTTTTTCATGAAAAAAGAATTGTAAATACGGCTATTTACTAGGATAAGGAAAAATGAGCTTTGAAACTGACCTACATGGGCTGCCTTTTCTTCTGTAAGAGGTTACATGTTTGGATCAAATTTTTCTCTTTTACTTATCTGCCATTGAACTTAGAGGGTGTGAGTGTAGGAAAGACAAGACTTATCAGTACATTAACTCCTACATTCACACCCACATCCGCTCGCGTTTCTCCGACGGTGGGTGTTGGTGTCGGTGGATGTAGATGTCGATTATCTCTTTATTCACATGGATATTTACATCCACATCCACACATTTTTCGGTGGGTTTTTCGTATTAGCTGAAACATGCCATATAAATAATTGACATGTACATGTGTGGAACCGTAGGCAAGTAAGATGAAAATGAATACTCTTATCTATTCGATCGTCAAATTACTATCTATCAATCAATCACCCTTGTTTTTGTTTGGGGAAAGTGTGTTTTATCTAACCTTTACATTAAATGTGTGCTTCGTCCTTATTCGATAGTGCAGTAACTCTAGTTGTAAGACGTATTTTGTATCAGTGCACCCTGCAAGATTTTGACGAATGAGATACAACAAAAATCAGAGTGAAAGCGTGCATTATGCGAGATTGAGTGATCTAAAGTTGAAAAAAGGATTCGCACGCAAGCACATCATAATAGCGATTGTCGTGGTGATCGCACTCATGTTTTTCTCTGTTTGTCTGTGGCGACTGCTGCGACGACAGTAAGTCGAGTACTCAAAAGGCGTTGCATAGAATATTTCTCTTTGTTAGGCATAGTTCGTCTCAAACCGATGGTTCAACGAAGAAAATCAGATGTGGAACATGTTTGAATTTAACTTTGACGACAATGTCTTACCAAAAAAACAACAGTGCCACACTTCTGCAATCAAGTGATCTCACAACATTGAGCATTCTTCAAGTTAGCAAGCACACTTCAACACTTGAGAACATGATTGCTCATCCTGGTAAAATATTTTCTCATGTTCACAAGAATTCACTTTTGATCATGTTCTTACAACACCTTTTTCCGATCTTATTTCAACTAGAAAGCGTACATCCAAAAAGAGACAACACTTCATTTTACATAGTTTTATTTGTCACATTCACGCAAATCATGGAATAATTGATTTGTCCCGCTTCTAATTCACTCCACAGTTGATGAGCAGGCAACAGCAATTTTTTCGTTGTGTTTGAATTTTCTAATAGGCATGACATGCGAACAGTTCAAGTGTTTCTTTACATGGAAGCGCAACAGTGTGGCATATATGCTTTGTATGACAGAAAAGATTTTTCTAAAAAAATGTTCGCCAAAAATTCTAAATTTTTTGTCTGCTGGCTTCTGCATACTGCCCACCGTACACTCCTGAAGACGTTTAGTCCATTTCAAAAAACCTTCTTCCTTGATAATCATTTCTAGTTCTAAGTCTGGCATAGCTGAAGTTGCTGATAACAATTTGGTCAATTTAAACTGTCAATCGAGGCAAGTGTGAATAAATAGAGATGCAAGGGCAACTTTTATCCTAGAGTGACCGAGATTTGAGAGGGAACGGGTACGCAAAGTAATCAGAAAGCAGCTCGAATGCGTCCAAAATAGTCTTGGTAGACGTAGAACTTTGCGCTCTACGGAAATCCGAAAGAATAAGCCATAATCATATATGACATGTTAATTGGTTGTCAGAGATGGGCACTTTCCTGTGCATTCATTCCAGTGTTGGGTAACTCCGGAGTTAACTCCCGTAACAACAAGGAATTTTTGGTACAACTCCATAGCAACCGTCGGAGTTGTAGATCGTTCTACTATCGTCTATTTAAGCACAACGTTGTAACTCCAATTTTTGTCTCACGACTTCGACCTAACTCCATCGGAGTTGAGTGGAAAAAGCCGGAGTTGCCCAACACTGATTCATTCCATGCCGTTTTGTTCTCTCTACAGTGGTATTCTTTGCAAAAAAGACATGCCTGAGACGATTTCATGCATGTCTTCCTTCAAGGTCGTTCGAATTCATAAATGATAGAAAATATTTAGATCTATCATACTTTTAACAGCGAACAGAAGAGAAAGAGTTGAACGAGACTCAAAACTCCAGCTTCTATGTAGAGAGCAAGTATTCTGAAGAATTAATAACCACACAATGTTGATTTTCTTTTAGCCGACACAACACCAACTATCACCATTACTACAACTGCCACATCGGAAATCACAACCATAATAAATACAATGAGCAGTAAGTGATGTTTCTTTTTATATATGGAGAACATGACGAGTCGAGTATCGGTTTCAGAAATGTTTGACTTGTAAATTCTCATTTGATCTGATTTTAATGTCGATTGAAAGATGTACAATGTCATGTTTTGTTGATTATGCTAGACTCGCTGTGTCATTGAGTGACTAGAAGATCGGCGAGCCCTATTTGAGAAAGACTAAAGTTGCAAAAAAGAATCTAGCATACAAAAAACCCTACAATAAATAAACAAAGCACGCACACGTATCGTCACCCACCTTCAGATACGTGCATCACGCTATGACCGCTCTGCAACTGCTTCTCATAAAAAATGAATGGAATGGAATTTCGAAATATTGTTTAGACAAAGGCTCATTACAGAGATTAGCTTTAATTTGAGACCAGCTCGAGCTCTATACTTCTTAAAATGACCAGGTTATAACGACTCTGCTGAAAGTTATTTATGCAGCTTAAAGTTCGGTCTAGTGTCACATATTGGGCTCGGATTTTTACGTTGTTTCTCACTAGCACTATCCATTCCTGAAGATTTCAGTTCAAGTTCTAAATGAGAAATCTATTCTGAGGGTGTTCTTACTGATCAACAACGGGCAACGAGATGATTTCGATTGAACATTTCAAGAAAACACCGACATAATCGATGTGATCCTTTGATGTTGTTGTGGTGAAAAAAGATCATCGATATCAAAAGTTGGCAAAAAAAGAATATTCTCCTTCTCATGTTTCATGGCGATTCGTCAACAAGTTGAACAGCAGAAATGTTTCATTCAGAGATCGATTAGTGAATTCATTCACGTTTTTTCTTGAACTGAAATATGGGTACAATCCAATCTGTGATTAGAATCAACCTGTTCAGTATTCTCTCGAATTATTCTGCACTCGGTATCTCTCATAAATCGAAGAGTTGAGAACACATCGATACAGGTGTCTTTGCTCTTTGATCGATGCCTACGTTCTCGAGTACAGCCATATCACAAGACCAACGTGTTGAATGACTCGAAAGACTGCTCGATCCTCAATGAACAAAGAAACTTCGTTTGTCACGTTCTCTCGAAGAAAACACGTCGAACGAGCATGCGAGAATTAAAGTCTTATGTCTTCTCGACAAAGTGACAGAGAAATTTGTTCAAGACAAATAGCTAGTCAACATTCTGTTGCTGGAGAGATGAAGTGAGAATTACAATCTCTATTCACTAAATTGTTTTCTTTGTTCCAATAGGAGATGAAGTCTGTCAAAAGCACACGGTTGATATCCGACAATGTCAGACTTTTCTAAATTTGCTAATTCTAATTGTGCTCAGATAATATTGGAAATAGTGGTGAAAGAAAACATCTATATCAGACGATCTCCAGTGAATCTAGACTGATTTTGTTCATAGTCCACTTCACATGAACCATAGCACAAAACGATTAAAGAACGTACGAATCACTAAAAAACTGATACAGAAGGTTAAATAAGCGCCTGCGGAAATCATCTCAATACAAATTACAACAAAACGTCTCAGAACATGTGCATATCTTGATGAGAATTAGGACAGAAAACATTGTAGGTAGACATAGCACATAATTAACTGAAGCCATCTTGATGATATTGTTCTTGGAGCACACATATAGTGGGCGAACGTTTACATAAATCAACATACGATTGAAGAATCTTCAGAACACATGATATATGACGAGTGACAAGGAAATGAAGGTCAGTGTGTGAGTGAAGACCTTCTGCGTGTCTCTAACAAACATCCATCATGCACATGAAAAAACGCTAGCACAACGTGTTGGTGCATAACTAGCAAGTGAATTGTTGGAAGTTTGAGGTTACACTGTTTGAGAACGACGGAAAGAATGAATATTCTTGTTGATCAGTAGCACTTCGAAATATATTGTTCGAGTGTCAATGATCTTCACCGAGGGATAGCGTGAAACACATATTCTATGAGCATGTTCGATCAAAACCATTATTAGTCGACTTTCGATAGAGATTGTCTGGCATAGGATTTTTTCTTTCTGTACTATTCTCATCACTATCTGAGCATGCTTAGTAGGTTTGGGAAAGTCTGACAATTTTCTTCGCATTGTCTCAAATAAATCCGATGATTTCATCAAAGATGTCTCTCTCAACTTTGAACAATGAGAAACGCCCTCGAACATTGGTGTAAAGATCATCTCTTGTGGAAAGTAGACAAGTTTATTGAATTAGAAGAGTTCGTTGGTTCGCCGCGAAAAGAATCAGATTGAATGATAGCGTACTTTCGTCGCTTATTCTGATGGAGAACAATCATTGTGGCATTTCTGTCGAGTGATTGAGTGAAACGATGTTCGCTCGACCGCCAACTTCGATTCTATCTTCATCACACTCTCTTATCTCACCCAAGACAGCTGAATTTATTCTCAAAAACATGTTTGAAATAAGTGAATAACATAAAATAAATAAGCTTTCTTTTCATTAGTGTCTTTTGTCTTCGTTCAAAAGGCGGTGTCGTTTTGACGACTCATTCATTGCACCACCACTCTTCACGTGTCTCACTTCACCAAACTACTCCGATTACTCTCTCTTTCTCCACGCCCTTCTTTCGTTGCAGCGCCACCACCTCTACGCGGCAGTGCCACTTATATTTCATCGAATGCTAAATGGGATCAGAACGGCGTTGCTGTGGCAGGTGGAAACAGAAACGGAAGTGGACTTCATCAACTCTCTGACCTACATGGTCTGTATGTGGACGAGGATGTCACGGTATATATCGCTGACTGCTCGAATCACCATATCATGAAATGGAAGTTGGATGCGACGAGTGGTGAAGTAGTGGCCGGAGGACATGGAGAAGGAAGTCGAGCTAATCAATTGAATAATCCAACAGATGTGATTGTCGACAACGAAAATCTTATCATCTGTGACTACGACAATCGGCAATTGGTGCGATGGCCTCGTGAAGGTGGCACAAGTGGAGAAATGATCATCTCGAACATCGACTGTTCTCGCTTGACGATGGACGATCAGAGATTTCTCTATTTCTCTGATTATAAAGAACATGTTGTCAGACGATGGCGAGTGGGAGAGAACCGTTCGACAGTCGTGGCAGGTGGCAATGGGCAAGGCAGTCGTTTCGATCAACTCGATTGGCCTATGTACATCTTTGTCGACCGAGATCACTCCGTGTACGTGTCGGACTTTGATAATGATCGTGTGATGAAGTGGGTGGAGGGCGCGAAAGATGGCATTGTTGTGGCTGGTGGTCGAGGGAAAGGAAATGCTTTGACACAATTAAACGGACCTCGAGGACTTGTGGTCGATCAATTGGGTACTGTATATGTGGCCGACGAAGAAAATCATCGAATAATGCGTTGGCTGAAAGGAGCGACAGAGGGAAGTGTCCTGGTGGGTGGAAACGGTAAAGGAGAACAAGCAAACCAGCTACATTATCCTAACGGTTTGTCTTTTGATCGTCATGGTAATCTCTATGTGGCCGACTGCTTCAATCATCGTGTGCAAAAATTTAAACTATTATCACCATGATCTGTTTCTCTACAGCTAAAGAATAAATTGATGTCGTGGTAACAAGACAGTCAAGTTCATGGGTCCGAAGGCTACATTAACTCGAAGAGTTATATCTACTACTCAGAGATCGAAACGAACTGAACCGATAAAGTGGGCCTAGGGTGTGGGTATGGGGTGTGGGCAAGGGGGGAAAAGCGGTGACTAGTGGATCCTAGGATCCAGCAGGAACCACAGGATCCACGAAGATCCATCAGGATCCAATATGATCCACCAGGATTCAATAGGATCCACCAGGATCCACAGGATCCATCGGGATTCAATATCATCTATCACCGCGGCAAAAAATAGTTTCACTCCGTATTTCTCATATATTATCACTATAAAAATATATTTGTTTAAAACTAATTACATATTCTGAAAGGCCGTAGAGTTTTCTATCATCCTATATAATTAGATTTTGGTTTAGACCTATTTATTGACAAAATAAATTGAGTTCAATGAAGGCACCCTCATGTCTAGATTCCCACAGTGTGGATTGTGTTCCCTCAACTAGTTCTGTAAATTTTTCATCACTATAAAATTGCCTTTTTTAGGAAAGCCATTATATATTATGATAGAGCTTGAAATTCTTTATCATCCTATATATTAATATACTGTTTGAAATTTAAGTAGCAAAAAGCTGTAGATTTTTGGTACTTGTTGATTGAGGATGTTTTCATTGTACGCAAATTCTCTTTTCAATAAATGAATATAAGAAAATAAGTACATATACAGAGTGATAAAGAATTTCAAGCTCTATCAGAATATCTAATTGTATTTTTAAAAAAGTAATTCTATAGTGATGAAAAAGTTTAAAAACTAATTTTGACGACAGCGATAAAATCAAGTTTATGGGAATCTGGACATGACGGTGCCTTCATTGCACTCAATTTATTTTGGCAATAAATAGATTTAAACTAAAACCTAATTATACAGGATGATAGAAAACTCCACGACCTTTCAGAATATGCAATTAGTTTTAAACAAATGTGTTTTTATAGTGATAATATATGAGAAATACGGAGTGAAACTACATTTTGCCGCGGAGATATATATTCTGGGGGTATTCTTTGGCCCTCAAGTTCTATATTCTGAGGTATTCCTAGGTCCTCAAGTCCTATATTTCGGGGGTACCCTTAGGTCCTCATGTCCTATATTCGGGGGGTACCCTTGGGTCCTCAAGTCCTATATTTCTGGGATACCCTTAGGTTCTCATATCCTATATTCTGAGGGTGTCCTTGGGTCCTCATATCCTATATTCCAGGAGTACCCTTAGTCCTCAAGTCCTATATTTTGGAGGTACCTCTAGGTCCTCAAGTCCTATATTCGGAGGATGCCTCTGGGTCCTCAAGTCTTATATTTTGGAGATACGCAGGGTACTTAAGACTTATTTTCTAAAGATGCCCTAGTCCTCAAGTCCTATATTCTGGAGTATTCCTAGGTCCTCAAGTCCTATATTCC